GGGGTCCACTCAATTTCGTGAGAATAATTGATGAGCTATTTCAAGGAAATAGGGGCTCCGGTCTGGAAAATTAAGATTAATGGCCATGGGGATTCGTTGCGCTGATTACGAGACACCCTCAATCCGAAAAAGTTGGCAGTACCTTCGCCGACAAGCGGCGGTCGCTCGGTCGGTATAGTTCGCTTGCGGACTACAGATCACGGAGTTCTTTTTAAATACAAATGTGAACTTGATATTAATTATCACAATGGACTAGGATGAACAATTTACAATGAAAATATATGCAAAGAAGCGGCATAAAATACAACTTGTCGTCGACGCTGAGAACTGTCAACGATCCTGTGCCTGCAATGAGTTGAGCCGAGTTGAGATTGTTTCTGTAAATATCGTCTTTCAGGTAAAGTAAGCGGCAAATCTATCACTGTAACAGGCCACGGCGGCTCATAAGGTTGTAATACGCCGAGGCTCCCACGTGTTCTAGACAATCGGCTCACAGATGGCGGCAAGGTTGTCAGTCTTACACACCGGCCGCCCTTTACCCCCAGGAATATTCTTGGTACTCATTTCTGTTAGAGGCTGAGTCGACCCCAGGATTAAATCAATTAAAAAATCCAATGAAAACCTCGGGAATCAAACCCGCGGCCTTCTGGCATATAGCAGAGTGCCCCCAACTAACTACGCTACCGCGTGCTGCTATCCTCCTTCAGGTACGCTCACTAGATATAACCAAGGGTTGAAATAAGTTGGCCAAGGCAGATTAAAATTTAGCGTCTCTTCAGATTGAACCAGTATATCAAATAGTATTCAAGGTATCAGGCCTTCCTTGGAGAGCTGTTGGGCTGACTGAAACGAATCTCGCGAAATCACCGTCCCAACAAACTTCATAAGCGGTGTCTCCTTACTGCATAATGGTAACTATATATACAAGTTGCTTTATCTTTAATTAACTGCGAAACTCGGCCGCGCTGTAAGGAATTAACTATTTATGGTTCATTATTCTTTTATAGGAGTCGGTTGATAACTCCTCTTAAAACAGGCCTTAACACTAAATAACTTGGAATTTCACCCACACTGTGTGTATGCGAGTTCGGCTATCACAGAGAACAACAAACTTCTCCCCAACAAAACAATCCATCTCACACTTGCAAAGTTGAAACGGTGTGTTTTCTTCGCGGTATGAACTAATTTTTTCTTTAGTGATATTTAGACAAGGTTGGAGAAAACTGCATAATGAGGAGCTTCATAACTCGTACTCTTCTCCAAGTATAATTAGAATAATCAAGTCAAGGAAGATGAGGTGAGCAGGGCATGCAGCAGGAATGTAGGACAAGAGGAATGCATGTATGATATTGGTGGGAAAGCCAGAAAGAAAGAGACCACTGGGAAGACCAATGTGTACGTGGGTGAACAATATTAAAATGGATATTAGAGATAAACTCTGTCAGATTCACTACAGCTATTTAATCACCTGAAACCAGGCTAATTCGGCGGGAGATAACAAGAAAATATACAATGAAAAGTCCAGAAATCCTGTAATTCTGAGTGTTACCATCGTTAGAACAATTCAGATCTTCTACTGTGCTCTATAGTTAAATAAGTAAGAGGCCGTGGAGGTGCATAGGGTTGTGAGACGTCGAGGCACTCTGTTTTCTAGAAAATCGGTTCATATATGGCGGTGAGGTTGTCAGCCCTACTCGCCGGCCGCCCCCCAGGAAGATTCCTGGTACTCATTTCTGTTAGAGGCTGAGTCGACCCCAGCGCCATAGTGCGGCTGGAAGGATTAGGTCGATTGAAAATATCCAATGACCTCAGACGTTCTATAAAGAACAATTTTAAATATTTCACGCCCCTAATCTCAAAATGCCGGTCACGGTAGCCGAACGGTCTAAGGCATGTACTGTCTTCGCTCGCTTGGAAACTGGAATCGTGGGTTCGGATCTGTTTCCTGTGAGGTACGAACTGAATTCTTATATATTATTCTTATACACTGCCGGTCACGGTAGCCGAACGGTCTAAGGCATATACTGTCTTCGCTCGCTTGGAAACTGGGATCGTGGGTTCGGATCTGTTTCCTGTGAGGTACGAACTGAATTCTTATATATTATTCTTATACACTGCCGGTCACGGTAGCCGAACGGTCTAAGGCATATACTGTCTTCGCTCGCTTGGAAACTGGGATCGTGGGTTCGGATCTGTTTCCTGTGAGGTACGAACTGAATTCTTATATATTATTCTTATACACTGCCGGTCACGGTAGCCGAACGGTCTAAGGCATATACTGTCTTCGCTCGCTTGGAAACTGGGATCGTGGGTTCGGATCTGTTTCCTGTGAGGTACGAACTGAATTCTTATATATTATTCTTATACACTGCCGGTCACGGTAGCCGAACCGTCTAAGGCATGTACTGTCTTCGCTCGCTTGGAAACCGGGATCGTGGATTCGAATCCCACTTAGGGCATGGATGTTTACTTTGTGTGTGTGCGCGTTTCTCTGTGTTTGTGTACAGGTAGAGGCCTGGGACGAGCTGATCACCCGCCCAAGGAGTCCTACCGAATGTGTAAGATCTAGAAAAACCGAAGTGAACGGAGAAGTTCATGGAGGTAGGCCTAGGTCCTCGGGGGCTGCAGTGCCAAGGAAAAAAAATCTCAAAATTTCATTCCAAAAATGTTACAAACTGTCAAGTTCTACAAATATAATAAATATGTTAACCAAAATAAGGCACACAATGTGTGTAAACCACATATTTTCATTATTTGCAATAATTAAATTAGGGTTCAAAGTTGCAGTATGCTAACTGGCAATTTTATTTGCCCTCGTCTATACAGTTATGTTGTCTTGTGTCACTCGTTTAGATATATGGACTACGCCGCGTGGCATTCCTTTGTCTTTTGGGGGGGGGGGTTGCCTTTTTTATTATTATTACGGAGCAGGACAGAGTGCATGACACGCCCTGTTAATTAGCATATTGCAAACTAACCCTTCGTCCTCACCCACTCTCTGAAACTTCTAGAAACGTAGTGCGGTGTATATCTCCACTTTTTGTTTACCTTTTCACCCTTTTTGAGCTGTTCAACTTCAAGATACTGTCAGCCTTGGGGGAGGGGGAAGAAACAAACGACTGTAAGGAAATGGGGTGGTTCTGAATCAGCGCATTCTTAAAATCATTTTCACGAATATTGTTCACTAAATTTTGTTGTATGAAGAACAGTTCTTGGGGGGACAGCCTACACGAAAATCCGGAAATATTTAGGCGAATGGAGCTCCTGTTATTCGAGATATATCGAAGCAGTTATTGAACGAATCTGCATAAATTACGAGGTTCAGTCTCGTCAGTGTTTCCTCGCGTTCATTCTACGAAATCCTCCCCAGGAAAAGAAAATACACAACTTAACCTCTACACAGAATGATGTATAATCTACAATTCTGTCTTCTGGGGTATACTGCTATGTAGTTCGTTGAAATTCAACTGACGTTTCGGAGGAACACAGCCAAAACTGTATTTACTCTACTTGCTTCACGCTGGTATCTTTCTTGGTACATTCTTCGGCCCTGCATATTGAGGTGAAATGTTCTTCCGAAACGTCTATTTAAATTCAATGGACTACACTTTTTACATAAAATTATGTTGTTTCCCAATTTGTCTCCCGTCTGTGTCACAGTATGACCGCCTCTGTGATCTAGAGGTCAGAGTCTGTGGCTACAAATCCAGGGTCCTGGTTCGATTCCCGGAGATACGAGAGTAGTGGGTCTGGATCTGAGTCCACTCAGCCTCGTGAGGATAACTGAGGAGCTATTTTAAGGAAATAACGGCTCCGGTCTACAAAACCGAGATTAATCTTCGGGGGGGGGGATCCGTTACGCTGACCAAGCGACACCCTCTATCCGCTAAAGTTTGCACTAACTTCGCCGACAAGCGGCGGTCGCTCGGTCGGTATAGTTCGCTTGCGGACTAAAGCCACGGAGATGTTTTTATGTCACAGTTCCTAAAGACTTGTGTTTCAATCGTTCAGTCTCCATACATTTGAAGCCTTACGTGTTTCTTCAAAAGTCACTTTCGATCGGACAGGAAGCTAGGGAGACTAAGGTACACACACGAATACAGCATTTTCATGAGATGAACAGAGCAAGCAAAAATGATTTCATCATTCTTCGTATGATAATGAAAAAAAAAATTTACGATTATGTACATCTTCCTCTAAATTCCTTCGTTAACACTGCCTGTTCCCTTTCTGTAAACCATCTCGAAATATTCTGCCTATATCCGAGGAACTCCCTACCACAATTCAGGAATAACTGAAAACAATTACAGTAACTCGAAAGAAATTAAAACTGACTCATTTCTAACCCTTACTCATCTTTCAGTACCTAATACTCAACACATTCGATACTATGTAACCTCTGCACTTGAAACAGGGTAATTTAATAATTTAGGATCTTAATAGTATGTATCCTGTTGTGTGTTATAAACAAGGTACATAAAACGTATATTAAAGCATGCAGTCTAAACAAAGGTGTTCTGGTTTAAAGCAACTGAGTCTGATTCTGGTCTGACCCAGAATATAGGTCGAAACATCTAGCGTCAATAAAAACAAATGTTGATACGATAGTGTCTACTTTGTTGTGTAAACTGCATACTACTGTATACATTTTAGGTACCTTGTTATTAAATTGAGAACTGAGCAGTTGTGTATAATGTAAATAATCTATGCAGGTAAGTCTAATTTAAGGTGATTAGTCAATCATCCTTCTTGTATCAACATTAGTGGGGGGTGGAGTCCAGCTCGGTCCACTCTACACGGCGGCCACTGATTGGCCTATTGTACCTGCCCCGGGTGATTATGATGCACACCTGAGGGTGTTGTTTCCTGCCCACTTGTCATGGACTCTCATTCCCCTGTGCTTCTACTACAAAGTGCGAAAATTCAAATTATTTCTAAAAGGCTGCTCATGAAGCTGACCGTTGTCACGTGTTGTGTGACGAGTCTATCTTGTGTTTCAGATCGGGGATACGCCCAATCCGGAACTACGAATCATTACCAGCACGTTCAACCAAATCCAGTACAAAGGTGAGATTCTCTGCTACGTTCTCAAAATGCCACTTAAGTCAAATGACGTCATACTTAGACAGGCTGCCTCAAAATGTGGCATCCACTGTAATGACATTACTACAACTGCATTCTAGTTTGCCTCAGAACTAATCAATTAACCCCAAGAAAAGCCCTTCCATTATGAAACACTTACGGAGCTGAGCCCTTCTTGAGGAGCCACAAAATCTAGAGCTACTCAAGAATTTCCCAGCATTTTATGGAATTTGAAGGTTCATCACCGTGTCCACAAGAGCTCTCCACTGGTCCCTATCCTAAACCACATCACTCCAATCCATACCATCCCATCCTACGTCTCTAAGATCCATTTTAATATTGTCCACCCATCTACGTCTTGATCTTCCAGTGGTCTCTTTCCTTCTGGCTTTCTCACCAATATCCTATATGCATTCCTCTTCTCCCCATTCGTGCTACGTGCCCTGATCAACGTATCCTCCTTGACTTGATCATTGTAATTGTACTTGGAGAAGAGTACAAGTTATGAAGCTCCTCATTATGCAGTTTTCTCCAACCTCCTGTCACTTCATCTCTCTTCGGCCCAAATATTCTCCTCAACACCCTGTTCTCAGACACCCTCAGTCTATGTTCCTTCCTTAATGTCAAGAGATATTATGAAACACTAAGGTTCAGTTTTGTACTGACAATACATTGCCTCTCAGCCTCACCCTGGACCATGTGAATCTAGTTCATAACTTGCACACAATTCCTCTAAAATCAGCTGTAAATCTATCCTCCCGTGCAAACCTAAATCTGAAGGTTGTGTCTTCTTTTCAGGACTTTCGACAAAAATTCTATTAATACGAATTACAATTTCTGTTTCTCTCATGCCTTTATAGTTTCAGCCAGATTATTCAAAATTTTGACGTGTCAAGTACAAATTAAATAATATTCCTGGGGAGTAAAGCGGGGCCGGAGCGTAAGGCTGACAACCTTACCGCTACCGAACCTACACATGAGAATATACTTAGCACGAATTGCGCAGCTGATCACCAAATATGAGATTATATTTGAAAGGGAGCGGTGTTAGACCACGTCAGTCAAGAACTACAGAGTGTTTGGATGAAAGGTATCCAAAATAAAATGATTATATCTCAGAAAACACTCATTATACATATATTTATGGTTTATGCCATTACAAAGAGAAACTATCAAAGTTTTTCTGAGTATATAACTTTCTCAATAAATTTAAATGTGGGCTTCCTTGGTGGCACGACAAATATCCAGGCTTGGAGCATGTTTGGTGTTACCGTAGCCACAGCGTCCCTTATGCGGGCTTTCAGGTGTTGAAGGTCGTTGATCTTAACCTGGTAGACAGTGTTCTTCACATAATCCCACAAGAAAAAATTAACTGGGGTTAAACCTGGCGACTTAGGAGGCCACTTCTGCCGATCTATCACCCAGCCATCTCTCTGTCCAAGTGGTTCCTAACATGGTGACAAAAATGTGACGGCGCATAGGGGTACGTCAGGCATTGAAAAAAAATACCGGGTTTTCCTTTCCAATGACAGAAACCGGATACGTGTATCACAATTACTTTCCGAGATATACAATTTTTTTTTGATACCTTTTATCCGGACACTCTGTATTATACCATCGAATGCATTGAGAGACTGACAGAAGCTTCAGATACGAAGAACCGATGGTCCGGTCGAGAATGTACATGTGCACATGCTTAACGCGTGTCACTCTTGTTTATTTAACATTACTGTCACGTGGATATGTGACTACAGAGGGGATTTGGAGTGGTGATAGTGTTTACTGGCCACTCATACACACGGCTCATAAGTAAAAGTAATTACAGCACAATCGCTAATCTCCATAATTCACAAATCACCACAGTATCCACTAAGACTCTTCCAGTTCGCTGTGTCTTTATCAGCCGTTCCCTGGCAACGCCTCCTAACAGTGGATTCTCTTCAACTTCACGTGTTCAAGTTCTCTATTCACAGACTCCCGTACAGAACTAAGCTCAACGTTGTCCATTACTTATCTCAGCACAGACCACATGGAAAACACAGTTCTATTATTGTGCCAAGGTTACATTCGTGTAAGTTGTTGCGGGAAAGTTTTCTCCGGCCCTAGTATGTCCACTCACTTCGCGGTCGTTGCATAGCAACGGCTGTGCAAGCTATTTTATGTTATTTAACAATATTTCTATAGCTGTATCAGTTATATTGTATCGAGTGAGATGAGACAGCCGTTAACAATTTTGAACAGATGATAGTGCGTATATTTGAAGTCCTGTCTAAGTATCTCGTCATTCACGTGAAGAGACTCAAGATGGCCGGTGACCCAGCTGAAGATTCGAAGTGCGTACCACTATCAAAGAAGTCTAAATGAATTCCGTAAAACCTGTAAACCCAACTCAAGTTAAGTTGCCACTCTGTCAAAGCGCCATCATATGCTAATGCAGGGATGGGGGGGGGGGTGATACTGCTTTCCTTAGAGTGGTCATCTTCACGGTTCGACTGCCCTAACCCCAATACCTGCTGGACAGGCTCTAAGAGAATCCCAAAGCCAGTCACCGATCCTCTAAGCCGTAGAGAGGCACTTTGCTGATTCTACCGTTCCTGCTTCTGTACCACTGAAAGCAAAGTGGCCCCTATGCCTATGCACCATGGCATGAAGGCATAGATACAAGGTCCTACAGTATTTCTTTCTTCCTCTCGCTCCCATTTTGGAGCATAGGACTTTTTCTCAGTTCCGTGATCATTTTACAGACGGTAAGACTCCTTGGGCGAGTGATCAGTTAGTCGCAACATAAACACAGAATAAACGCATACACACACCAAACGATCCCGGCTTCCTAGAGAGAGAAGACAGTGCATGCCTTAGACCGCGCGGCTACTGTGACCGGCAGTGTATAAGAATAATATATAAGAATTCAGTTCGTACCTCACAGGAAACAGATCCGAACCCACGATCCCGGTTTCCAAGCGAGCGAAGACAGAGCATGCCTTAGACCGCTCGGCTACTGTGACCGGCAGTGTATAAGAATAATATATAAGAATTCACTTCGTACCTCACAGGAAACAGATCCGAACCCACGATCCCGGTTTCCAAGCGAACGAAGATAGTTAATGCCTTAGACCGCTCGGCTACCGTGACCGGATGCTACAGTTTTTCTGTCTAAAATATCTTTAAGGGTGGCCCCTTATCAGATATTGATGTAAATATTGTAGCGTATACAGCGGTTGCTATGGAATGGCTGCGAGAAAGTCGAATAAACAACCACCGTTGCTAGGCATCGGATCGGTAACACGTTCCCGCAGCAACGGGTGCGCACGCAACAGTGAAGATGTTGTTGCAGACGGTACCTGGGATTACAAGCGGGACACCCTATTCCTCAGGGATATAAATACGGGACCTGGTCCTCCAGGTTGAGGGATTCTCGAATCTGAGACAGTAAAATATGGTCACGAGTCCGCGGGACTCGGACCTGAGAATGACTGCGCTGGCGAGGACCAACAGCAATTGTAAACAACATACTAATCCTCTTGTCAGAGAGGATGTTGAATAAGGGCTATAACCGCAAGTGTTCAGTTGGAAAATAATATTACTGGTCGTGAGTCACCAAGACGAACTGATTGGCCGTAACCCACCAGTCGTAAAGTAACTCTGCCTCTGATTCTGACCCTGACTCAGTCAGTGATGAAAGTAACTCAGTGAACGAAAGAGTGAGAGCCAGTAGGGTCACTCCTCATTACAGAGGGAGTGACCAGTGCAGTCAGACCCCTCTCCTGGTCGAAGAGGAGGCCACATTTCAAAACACATAAAAGTCGGAAAAGAACAAAAATATTGTCAAGGGTCCTAAGATGGGCCGAAACTTATAACGACTCTACTGGCGAGGGCCAGCTGAATTTTACTGGACTGGACTTGACCCAGTCAGTTCAGAGTTCAGTTCTTCAAAGGAGGTTGAGAAGACATGGCGCTATTGTTTAGTAGTGGTTTACCCGTCCGGTCGTTCCATAGTAAAGACGTCCGCCAATCTCGCACTCGTTGCATAACAACGGTTTTACATGCTACAATAAGTTAGTGTCTGAACTCTATAACTAGAATTAAATCAAGGATTATGAAGTACGTTTGACGGGTACAGGGATTCATGAAATATTTAGGATCGCAAACGTCAAGATGGAGGCCGAGCTGCCTATTCGAGGGATAACACGATAATGACGCTTAAAGAATTTGATTTGAATTCGATTTAATTTGCTCAGAATATGATCCACTGATGGAAGTTTATATATGCGGATTATTAACCTTCGGTTCCATATCAGATCGGGGCTCGCAGTAACGTAGTTTGTTCAGGCGCAATGATACAAGCCGGAAGGTTGAGGGATCGAATCCCGATGAGGTAGATTTTTTCAATTGACCTAACCTTTCCAGCCGCACTATGGCCCTGGGGTCGACTCAGCCTCTAACAGAAATGAGTACCAGGAATATTCCTGGGGGTAAAGGACGGCCGGCGCGTAAGCTGATAACCTTACCGCAATCTACGAGTATAAGCCGATTGTATAGAAAATGTGGGGACCTCAACATCTCACAATCACATCAAAGTTATTTTAAAACTGAATAATTACTACACGAACAAAAGTAGAAGACTTGGTTCGTAGACAAGTAAAACCGAGAATAGACTTTCTCGACGGTTGGCATTTCTAAAGTCAAAATACTAAACGAGAACTGCAGTAGGAAGAATTGTTGGGGGGATGTTCTGTCTCCGCCTTCTTCATCCCCAGCCTGCAGATTCATTCCATTCACTGTCGTGGAAATCTCGGCATAAGCGATAAACCATCTGTTTCTCTAATTATTCAAACCGTCTCTCATCTTCGTAACTGAGACATATGAATTTTGGATAGATGGATCGGTCACTTGACGTGCGGCGTTTGGAACCTACATATTCAAGTGGAGTTCTGGAAATTATTAATCTGATTAATTTAGCTTCCCCTTTGAAGAAAGCTCTACGT